GGCTTTGTACTAGGAAAGGTAGTATAAGCTCTCACCACCCCACTCTAGCAGCACCTCTCCAGTGTGACCCACAGACACCATTAATTAATTCTGGAGTCCTCAAGACAGCTTGGCTAATGCACCTCAATCCTAACCTGCAGCATCGTCCATTAATGCAGCCCTGGATCATTCTAGCTCAGGGGTAGGCAACCTATTGCATGTGTGCCAAAGGTGACACGCGAGCTGATTTTCAGCGGCACTCACAGTGCCCGGGTCCTGGCCACCGGTCCGGGGGGCTCTGCATTTTATTTAATTTTAAATGAAGCTTCTTAAACATTTTAAAAACCTTATTTACTTTACATACAACAATAGTTTCGTTATATATTATAGACTTATAGAAAAAGACCTTCTAAAAAAGTTAAAATGCATTACTGGCACGCGAAACCTTAAATTAGAGTGAATAAATGAAGACTCGGCACACCACTTCTGAAAGGTTGCTGACCCCTGTTCTACCTACTGCTAACATTGCTAGACATGGCAATGATTTTGCGGTATGGCAGCAACTCAATTTCCTTTCCCTTTCCCCTGCTCGCATTATCTTGTAAACATCTGCATGCAACTGCCCACAATGGTTTTCTAGCTTTGCACTTTACCCACTGTTCTCACACACTTTCTGCTCTGAGACAGTCATGAGATTTGCCCTGGGTTTAGCCTGCAGGATGCTTTGGGGAGAGCGGGTCACTCTAGGCTTTGTTTTAGTCTCCCCTCAAGCCTCCCTCACATCAGACCATCCAGGTTCTTGGAAGACGTCCCAAAGTGTGTTTAGAAACGCTTTTCTGTAATGAGGTTCTACAGAACATCACTTGACATTCCATCTGCACTTCAGAACAGGAATTGTAGATTTCTTTAAAGATCATGAGGAGAATACACCCTGGCAATCGATGCGTGAGAGAATTATAGAACTGGGCACTGAACTGCTCACACCCAGCTTTATACTGGCCAGGAAGCCAAAGGAAACTGGCTCATTGGCCTCGAACTGGGGACATGTGAACTCTGCCCAACTCACATAGACAACTTGCCAGGAGTTCCAAGGATCCCCTAAATTTATATAAAATGGATCAGGCCTCTGAGACGCCCAGTGACATCACAAGATACCTTATCTTGGGCTATGCAGCCTGGCTGCAGTTTGAGATCTACAGCTCCACTAGCTGCACCTTAGAGAAGAGGGCAACAGCAGGGCACAGTGCAGAACTCCATGGACCACATTTCTTTCTGTCCTACAACAGGGTTGCACTTGTCCCTGTGCAGAAGTGATACTGCATTCAGTCCCCTAGGGAGAAGGTGAAAAACACTCGTTTCACCCAGATCTAAAGCAACACCAGTTTTTCCTGAACAAGTACAGTAGCACTGACCAAGCTCCGGAGAGAATTCCAACTCTCCCACCACAGCAGCATCACCATGAGATGGCATATGTGAGGAAGGGACAAGAACCTACATTGAGGCAGAGAGCCCCACTCTCCACAAATGGACAAGATTTGTAACACATCTCCTCAGAGAAACAGTCTGAATGCAGCATCTGGTTTTCTGGGCAGTTTCTGCTGCTTTCCGTCCTACGGAGTGCAGATTTCATTGCGTTCCAATGGGAACAATCAACTGAGGTACCAGGAGACAAGGAAGATGAGAACAGCACTGCGTGAAATCCTTACAAAACAACTCAGAAGATGCACTTCAATAGAAGCATCACCGCGGGGCTGAATTCCCCTACCCCACCTTCCCTCCAGAGCTAGAGTGTGAACAGCCAGGCACCGTAGCTCACAGCAACACTGACCTGGGCAGGAACCAGGGACCCCGACATCAGCATCACCCCTAGCAGCGTTTAGTGCCAGTTAGCGGGGATCTCCCCTGCTCACACTGCGGGGGCCCCCAAATCCCCAGCGCCCTAACCCCCCCTGGCCTCCCCAGCCTCAGATCCCCCTCGCCCCCCAGGCCT